GGGGGAGACATGGAATATGTGCACTCAGGTTGAAACCTCTATCTTATCACTCTCCGATCATAATTCGGGAACAACAACTTTCAAAATTGCAGACAAGGAGAAGTTTGGTAAATCATACTTCAAACTAAATACTGTTCATCTGGAGGGTCCCGAAGTGGTTTGGTGGATTCAACGACATTTTGAACAATGAGAAGAAGCAAAATATTTGTTTAAAAAGGAAACCGATTGGACTGAAGTAAGCATGCGTATTCAACAGGGATCGTTAAATGTCATCTCTCAATTGAAAGTTAGAAGTAGAAATCAACTAGAAAGAAAACTATTGAGAAATGTAGCCCAGGTCGAGCAATCCTTTGGTAATTACCCGATCTCATATATTTATTGGTCCACCAAAAGGAAAAGAACTCTGCTGAAATTGGAGTTGGAGAGCAAACAACAACTTGAAGAACAATGACAGACATGGTTGGCACAAAGAAATATCGCAGTAGGTGACAAAATGGAAAAAGAAACCTTTCGCAGACTAATACTTTATAACCCAGAATGCCAATGAAAGAATTGACACATCCCTTCGCACTTAATTCAATAGTCTAAGATGATCTTGAAAAAATGTGTGGATTCGCAAGCTTATATTTTCAAGAGGCACTCGCTCTGGGACTAGCTCATTATTTACCAACACTTGAATGGGGAACCTTCATTATTTTACCAACACTTGAACGGGGATTATTTCCGCGGAGAGACGAGATGTAACAATTCTACTCTTGGATATGGAAAAGGCATACGATAAGTTGGGTGGGCCTTTGTAATGACAACGCTAAGACATAAGAGATTTTGAGAAAAGTTTTGCAAATGGGTTGTGATAATGTATTCCATTGCAACAACATCAGTCATGGTGAATGAGCAGATTTTTCAAGATTTTTGTTTGACTAGGTCACTTCGTTAGGGTTGTCCCCTAGCTCCCCTCCTACTTGTCGTCCATCTAGAGGTTGTGTAACACCCCGTACAGATACGAGGCATCCGTACGGCCCATACGGCTTTACGTACGGGCCCGCAGGCGGCTGTACGGGTTGTACGTACTGCTCTATGAGTCGTTTCGGCAACCCTCCCGGCAACTTTCTGACACATGAGGGGGTAGGGGGGGGGGGGGGGGGGCTGGGGTTTCGGGAAAAAAAAAAATTGATTGATTGATTGATTGATTTTTTTTTTATTGATTGATTGATTGATTGATTGCTCGATTGATTGATTAGGGGTGGTTGGTTGGGTGACGTGTTTCACAATCTAGAGGTGCTATTGGATAACATACGTCATAATGATAATATTGAGGGACTGAGCCAAACCATCAAGAATAAAAAGGAAGTGCCCTGACCGATGACCTGACCTTAGTATGTAAAAATACCAAAGTTAATTCAGTAAATCTCAGAAAAATACTTAATCTATATTGTGAGTTATCCGAAACCTCTATTAATTGGAGTACATCAATGTATTTTCTCCTTGACGAGTTCCAGTTGAAAGTGAACTTGGAATTAAAGGCGGTACATGCAAATTCATCGGAATGGTTTCTGGGAATTCAAGTATCTCTGACTAACAATGAGATGTTTCAAAACCATAATATTTTGGAAGAAAAACTCGTGAACAGGTTGTCAAGCTGGAAGTACACAAGATACTTGTCTTTGATGGACTGAGCTTTTGTGATCTCTTCGACAAGATTCTCGGTCATATGGTTTACCTTTGTAGTGCATCTTTGGATGATACAGCTTATAAGAACCCTAAGAAGGCAGCGACTAAGTTAATGTTAAAACCAGAAGTAGGTGAAGAAGAAGGGTTTATGACTAAGGTCGCATGGGAGTCAGTCACCTTTCCACGATTTGAATGGGGTCTGGGCCTAGTGGACCCACAATGTCAGAACCTGACCCAATTACGAAGTGGCCTGTTAAAGCACTTTTGGAAGAGGGCAGGCCGCCATGGCTAACAATGACCCTTTACATTTTGGCCTAAGAGTGGTCGTTGAGTTGTGAGGGAGATGTACTACCATGCATGTTAATTAAGTCATATACCAATAAGAGACTAAAGTCAGTGTTTTGAAGAAACATTATGCATGCATGACACTAGTTATTTCCCATGAGAGATTGCACCATAATATGAAAGACTCGATGCTAAATTAAATTTTGTTTGAAAATCCGTGAATATTATATTTGGATGGATAGGAATTATCGGCTCATAATTCAACAAGTCATTTTGGTAAATCATGGATTCATGGGTAGAAAAAGGAGTGGTGAGAGGAACGACATGTGGAATAAGGAAACCAAATTATTGAGAAGAGAACAACAAATTATAATTAGTCTGGGCAAGCTGAGAAAAATAGGGAGGAGACTGCAAACACTGATAGACGGTATTCCTTGGTCGCAGAAACAAATTTTAATAGACAATAGAATTTCAGATACTGGATTATGGTGCCGTAATTTTACGGATGGAACGAATGTTATTTACGAAGTTAAAGATGAGCTTAGGACTAAGGACTATGATGCGAAAAAGTGGGATGTGCAAGATACTTTTTGGTACTCCAAGGAATTGTCCTCTTTCACAATTGGAGGCAATCCGCTTTGGAAGGTCTGTTGGAGATAACAACTAAACTTAAATTTAAATAAGAAAGACGCAGTTGGAGCGCAAGCTAATTTACACTGTTGTTCTTCCTATGAGAGTTCATATAGTAAAGGCAATTGCAGTAGACTTTCGAGCTTTAGGTTGACTCCTAGGCCATCAAACTATCCTATTAGATGAATACAAGTCGAAGGTGGAAACAAGTCTACCGTGACTGAGATCCAAAGGAAAAAAACAGCCAAACCAGTCTATTATTAAATGAAGGCAGAAGCATGACTTGTTGACCATGTCTACGTTTCAATTACATTCAATATGCCAGCAACTTCGTAGACTGCCCTGACAGAAGAGAACCAATTTGCTCTGGCTTCATAGCTTCTGAACATCATCATCGGCAGTGAATCGGGTCCAAAGGGGAATGTATATCTCATAGACATGTGTACGCTGCAAATGGATTTGAAAAAACGACTGTCATCTATGGTTACAATAGAAAAATTATCGCCGTTTTTTTTTTGTGTTTATCACGGGTCCTTGACCTCTGTCATCTGTTAATAAACTGTTTATAATCTGTTTTTCATGGCACATGCACCGTGGTCAACTGGAAGTCAAGGAAACCAACGTTTGCGAATTATGTCGTGCACATGAAGTGACAGGACAAACAGTTGAACAAAGTGTTGGTAAACAGTTTGTAATCTGTTTATAATGTGTTGAACTGCGTAGGGCACGTTGAACTGTGTGTTGGTAAATAGTTGTTAAACAACTGAACACAAGACTTCATGTTGGATATCAAATTCGATTTGTGATGGAAATGGGATGGAAATAAGATGAAAATGTGATGAATTGTATTGAAAATGTGATGGTGCTGTGTTTGGAATGAATGTGTCTGCCTGTTGATGGGATGACCATTCGTCTCGACGCATGCATGCGTCGATCGGAGCAATGTGGAGCATTCGATTGAGGACTCGCGTGACTCGATCATTGTTGATAAAACGTGGTGTTTGTTGGGGATCTTCATTTTGCACCATGAATGAGAAAAGAATACGATCTTTTATGAGACTATGTTGACGCCTTAATTGGTGAACCTTCGTGCAATCGGACAATGCACTTTTACGACTGAGCCCTCCCGTCCCC